TCTGCTCCTTGGGAGCCTGCTTCTCCCTCTGCCTCTCTCTCTCTCTCTCTGTCTCTCATGAATAAATAAATAAAAATCTTTAAAAAAAAAAGAAAGAAAGAAATAGATATAATCTTGATGAAATCTGAATATGGCTAGGAGGCTGAGAAAAAACAAAGATCAGAAAAAAGAATAAATGACTAGAAAAGAAGCGAAAGTAAGAGTCAAAATTGAGGGTTCCTTCAGGAGAAAAAAATAATTCCACGATAGGTGGAAATAGATTCTGAGCACATTTTAAAACCTAGCATCGTGAAGAAATGTCCACAGGAATAAATAATGGCGATGGTGATGGCATCTTCCAGAAGAGGTCATGGTTATCAGGGATGGAAGGAGAATGTCATGGGGCAGAGCCAAAAACCAGTTATATTCAAAACTATTAACTGAAGTCTTTAAAAACTAGAAAGATTTTCATCTGTTGGGTTTTCCAATGGAGGCCTGTGTGAAGGAATGGACGTTATGAACATCTTGTGTGTTCTATCATACGAATATTAAAATGAGGACCCAAGGGAGAAAAGCCCTAAGCATTATTAGACACCGGAGTCATGTGTTCACTATCTCACATCTGACTGGCTCACCCCGACGATGCCCTGTCTCGTCCCCGCGTAAGCATGGAGCAGGGAGAACTCTTCACATTTTTCTTCCTCTCCTGAGTTATGAAACAGCACACAGAGGCAATGAAGCCATACCACCCCTAAAGTCTCCTCTCTCCTGCCTCTGCCACGCACGATTTTTATTCTCTAAAGCCATTTCTTCCTCAAAAGAGCTCACCAGCGTCGTCGTCCTTCCTATCGGCTGCCCCACTGGGCTCTAGTGAGTGACATCCAGACATTTAAACTCAAAAGCTGCTTCAGAAGGGAGTTATTAAAATTCAAATGAGCTGGGCATGTCGAAGAAGAAAACACTCGTTTGCATGCACACCTCCGCATTTGGCCATCCCATTTAGACCCACAGAGCAGGGTCTGGTTTTGTTTTTGTAAATGGGCTTTGGAGGCGGAGGTCAGCCTCCCACGGCCCCCACTCCTTTGGGGTCATCATTAGTAATGTGTAAGGCTGAATAGATTTTCCTCTGAATCTAGTCAGCAAACCTGACAAGAAGGCAGCCCTCTCCCACAACCTGAAAATGCCAAAAATCTGATTGGTAATATGGCATTTTTAATACTTCATTTATCTGTCTTAAAATAGCTTTCAGTTGAGATTGCAAATAACATAGCCTCACCTGATTTTTCAATTTTAGAGCAGAACATTTCCCTTTGTGCCATGACTGTGTAATCATAAAAATGTTCTGTTTAACCAAGAATTTCCCACAGGATTCAGAGAAAATTCATGTCTGTCAAGAAATAGGGACCTGGGGAGTCAACATTACATTTTATTCCCTCGAAAAGAAAAAGAGTATCTTTCATTTTGTCTGAAGAATTTTTATTTTATTTCTCACGGAAATAGCTCAAATTAGCGTCATTTAAAACTTTTGTAAGGTATCAATGAGCAAATTAAAAAAAAAAGCAAAAATACATATTCCTAAGATTATCTTGGCTATGGAAATTTTAGACGCTCCTTTAGTAAGTATTCAATTTCTTACTAATGAAGACATCTCTATTATGACACTATTATTAAATAGACTTAATTTATGACAATATAAACAATTCTATATTACAGGTAATATATTACGTGTTTATATATAAATATTTTATGTACAACAATGACATTAAGTATATATCAATTTTTTACTAAGGGTACGTAAAAGCAGTCATGCTAACTCATGACCCTAAAATAATACTACAGTTTTGAGAACTCTAGGAACTAAAGGAATTCATCTCCAAACTCTGAAACTAGTTTATAATCTGGAAGCTGCAGATGACATGACTTTTAACGTCCCTTCCAACAGTAAGATTTTACTCTTTTACGACCTTCATTAATCAAACCTGCTTCCTCCAGATTTCTTCAGTTTAATTTGTTTAAAAACCTCCCCCCCGCCCCTAAAATTGGGATGGTCTTATCATAATACAGACACTGGATTTGCCCAGACGGATCTAACCAGGCCAGGCAAGAAAGAAACTAGCAAATATCAATGAAAGAATATTCTATGAATGAAACTATGTCCTGAGCTATGAAATTCTCAAGGAGGATACATTTTGCCCTCACATCTCTGAAGAGTCGATGTGTATCAGTAGAGAGCATTTATTTAAAGACTTATATGGCATTACTCGGACTGCAGTTAAAAACGAAAGGCAGGGCACCTGGGTGGCTCAGTCATTAAGCATCTGCCTTCGGCTCAGGTCATGATCCCAGGGTCCTGGGATCGAGCCCCACATCAGGCTCCCTGCTCGGCAGGAAGCCTGCTTCTCCCTCTCCCACTCCCCCTGCTTGTGGTCCCTCTCTCGTGTCTCTCTCTGTCAAATAAAAAAATAAAATCTTAAAAAACAAAAAAAACCGAAAGGCAATTCAATCTCTGTCTTCAGGTTGCTTGTGGTCTAATGTGGGTGGTGGCAGCAACAAAGAATCCCACACGGACAAATGTTTGCAGAGAAAAAGAACACAAGCTAAAATTAAGAACAACAGCCAGTGATTCCAACAACAGAGAGCGATCATTCGAGGTTCAGGGAGAAGACTTACTTCCAAGTTAGATCCCAGCTGTGTTTTCTCTTTTCTGGTCACACCCGCTCAACATTGACAAGAAAAGAAATGTGTGCTCATACTTTTTAAAAAGGTCAAATGAAAGATCAAGGTCTTCACAGATCCCCCTGACGCCCACCCCCAACCGCCAAGGTCAAATACAACGATTCCAAGAGACGACACGGCGTGTATGTTTATGTACCACTTATGGTCATTGGCCTCGTGGTCATTTCTGTTGCAAAGATGGGCTAGCAGAAGGAAACAGTCACTCCTTCAAATTGATTATGGTTTAATCCTACAGAAGCAAGCTTGGGGCACACAAACCTAAATCGCAGGAAGAATGGTGAAATTCAAGGAATGTGCTCACTTGCCTTTTTTCCCTCCTGTAACGAAGAAGCCCACGGCCGCTCTAATAAAACTGCTCTCGGGCAGATAGCTGTAGTCGGTGGGAACTGTGAAGGCAAAGAACGATCAAATTAGCCAGGGAACCTGGCGGGACTGATGAAGGCAAGATAATGATCTCACGCTGCCACATCAACCTAGAGACAAAGCGGAGATGTTTATGCCATTCATCTCAGCACAATACTCTGTGGTGGCATCTAATTCTATTAGATTAAGTGACTGGCCTTGAAGTAACCACTTAGGCTATGCAAGCAAAGCTAAAATGGTGGTAAACCTAGCAGAGACTGCAAAATCACAGGGGATGGAAACTTTACTGAAGCGGTTAAAAAAAAAAAAAAAGTCCTTTCCACCCTGTCACATCAATAAGCTCCAGTCCAGTGACCCTCGGTGTCTGCAAGGAGCCTGCTGGCCTCTAGGCTGAGACCACCATTCTAGGGATGACTTGAGGACATCCTGAATCAGATCTATGATCCAGGGAAATGCAACAAGCAGTAATAACAGCAGCCGGCCTGTTACTTCCGAAGGCGGGGACCTCTCAGTGAGCAGCATGTCCAAACCACCAGCCCCAGCTGCTGACCTGGAACACTGAGGCAAGCGACACAGAGGCAAGGCGAATCTGGGGAGTTTCCTAGATTCTTTTCCTCCCAGTCCCCCCAGGATTGCTTCATGACATGCTTTTTACTGCAACAATGGCTCAACTGGAAAATTCCAACAGAAACGAGGAGCTGTACTTTTCCACACATACAAGCTTTGTGTCCCAACGAACCTGGGTGAGATGGTTCACGACCACCCGACTTGAGTGCATGTGGGCCGGACCGTGTAACCCAGAGCATAATGATCAACTTGCTATTTTACCAGGACCTTAGGAGTGCACTGCCCTTCCCAACTAGCATTACTTAAGGTTTCCACCATGACTAAGTTTGGTGGGTTGTTTTTTTTTCCCCCCCTTTTTCCCATTTTAACATGACAGCTTCCAGTTGTCTCAAGTTCATTATGTTGGGAATGCTGCGGAACAATGTCCTATTTCTCTAGCTAAGGAGTGACTGAAAGTGAGGGGAATAGGAATTATAGTGCTACGTGTTCAGGGTGATGCTGTCCCTGCACTACCTGTCAGGGGATCAGCAAAACTAGGTTTTAATGAGAAATCTTTGGTAAAAAAACCTCTCTGGCCTGGGTCCAAGAGAGCCAGTGGGTCAAAATTCTATAAAGATCAAGGAGCAGATTCAGGTCCCAGTGTATTACAGTGATGCCTTCTGCAGAAAATCTCCAAGTACAAGCTTAAATTAAGCATGTGGGAATTGCAAATATTTTTTGTTTTTTATCAAAAATGTGGAAATAGAAAGGCCTTGTTATGTTAAAGACGTGGGATTTTAATTTCAACGCCAAGTATGTGCATATCTTTAAATGTATGTACCCCATTATTTTCTTAAAAGCAGGGGCCCGGAGAAATCCAGTCTTGGAGGAAGAGACTTTTAATGAAATAGGAGTATTATACAAACTGTAATTCCATCTAGGAAAAGAAAAAGAACTCTCTTCCGAGCTTGAAGGACCTGTTCCTACTTTCTGGATTTGTCACTAAACTCCACACGTAAGTCATGTAATCTTTCTAAGCCTCACTGTCTTCATTTGTGAAATATGGGGTTAGACTGTCTAATCTGCTCTCTGAGTGAGGCAGGGAAGAAGAATGAAAAGAGGTGACAGAGGTGAGTTCAACTGTGTGTGCACCACTTGCTGGTGGACATGTGACCCTGGGCAAGTCAGAAAGCTCTCCACAGCCCCTCTTCTGATGTAAAAGAGAGATGGTATCTGGGCAAGTCAGGAAGCTCCCAAACAGCCCCTCTTCTTCTAACGTAAAAGAGAGATGGTAACACCCACCACTTAAGGCAGGTACAAAGATTAATGCTCTCAACCAAGTACACGGCCCCCAGTCAGCAAGGCCTCCTCCAGCCCCAGTGTTCTAAGACTCCGATCTTACCAGAGGTTCTACTCTGACTTGAGGACAGAGTAGATAGGTGAAGATGTCCTAGAAGCCAGAGAGCATTTGACTGAAGACCAATCACGCCAGACACACTGATGACCTATGGATTAAAATGTAACAGTTCAATGATCAGGCAAGATCCACACTCCATTTAATAAAAGGTCACTCAGAGAAAGTCATTTATCTTTTATGAGGTGGTGGCTTGTCTGGTAATGACAAGTTCTCTGACAAGACGTAATATCAAGTGTCTAATATACTAAAGCCTGGACACACAGGTGATCAACAATTATTGCTGAAGAAATGAATGAATGTATCAATCAATCAATCATGACAGAAGGTAGTACCGGTTGTCTCAGGTTTCACGGAGTCTGACTGGTCTCAAAGGAATTTTTTTTAAAAAGGGAAAAAAGGGACGCCTGGGTGGCTCAGTCGGTTAAGCGTCTGCCTTCGGCTCAGGTCATGATCCCAGGATCCTGGGATCGAGCCCCGCGTCGGGCTCCTTGCTCAGCAGGGAGCCTGCTTCTCCCTCTGCCTGCTGCTTCCCCTGCTATGCTTTCTCTCTCTCTCTCTCTGACAAATAAATAAATTAAAAAAATAAAAAGGGGAAAAAAATCCAAGAAGTAAAAACAAGGTGTTATTTAAGAATAAAATACCTCTAAAAATGGAAGGAGATATTATTTTGTTCTCTTCTTTAAGTAATGTTCTATTACTGCTTTATCACTCATAATAAGGATTTTCTTAAATAACTTTTCATTTATAGATTTTTATCCCCCAAGTTACAGCCACTTAAGTTTTGGTATAATTATTTTTCTGAGAATCACATTCATACACGCAAAAGAGTTTCTTCTGTTCAGAGATTTATGGTTGCTTTTCAAAGCATGAATTATTAAAACTTGTTTATGTGGTAGGTGTAATAATCAGCTGTATTTACAAGAAGGAAAAAAGTATGCTAAATGAAAAGACTAAGTTAAAAGACTATCTACAAAGTTCTATATATAGTAAGAATACCAATCGTGCAAAGAAAATAAGAATACTTGAAAAGAAATAAGACCAATTATTACTAACACTTGCTTCAAGTTGTGAGGACCACCAATGATATTTTTTCAACTTTTTTCATTTTGTGCTTTCACGGTTGATGCAATGAAACTAATAAATTTTTATAAATAAAATCTTAAAATATATAATCATTCCTCAGCAGATGAACATACTTACTCTCTAGCCAAGAATGCTGATAATTAACCCAAATACTTTTATCAGTGACATCCGACCTGGTGCTTCTCAACCATTCTTAGATATCTATCCTGCCCTTTGATCACCTTCCATTTTACTTTGTCCTGAGGCCTAACATCCCTTCCAGGGTCAGAGTTTCATTTTTAAAGGAAACCAAGCCAACTTAAGTTAACTGGAAAAGGCCAGCTTTTTTTTTTTCCAGAGGAAATGCGTGTTTGTCAGTCAATGTGGGGCCATAAGCTACTCTCAAGTGCTGCTTGGACTCAATGTGAATAACCAGAGATCTCCTCATTTTCCAAGTAAAACCGTTTGTATCATGAAAGAGAAAGGCAGTAAAAGGAAGTAGCTGAGGGGCACCTGGGTGGCTCAGTTGGTTGGTTAAGTGTCCGCCTCTTGGTTTCAGCTCAGGTCATGATCTCAAGGTCATGAGATCGAGCCCCACATCAGGCTCTGCACTGGGCGTGGAGCCTGCTTAAGATTTTCTCTCTCTCCCTCTCCGGCTGCCCCTCTACGTGCTCACACCCACATGCATTCTCTCTCACTCTCTTTCTCTCTCTCAAAAAAAAAAGGGGGGGTAATTATCTGTTTCCCCATCCAAGGGTTTTAAATTCCTCTTCTCACCTGAGTTACAGTTTTAATGACTTCATTAAGTCTGGCTTGAAAATGAGAGGACTGGATAGCTTCTGACTTCAGCTGAAAGAAAAAAGAAATATCCACCCCAACATCCTCAAAAAGTAAATAATGATATTCCCAGTGGATGAGCTATCATCTTCTAAGCTATGGTATCATTTACCATTATGTCCTTACATTTCAGAAACAAAAGCTGTGGGCTCCTTGAGGGCAGGGCCCATGCTGTATTTATCACTGATTTCCTAACATCGGTCAGTGCCGCAAGAAGCACTCATTGAATAGACCTTCACTGTATGAACACAGGCGCTCCCTAGCATTACTTGTAAACTGAAACATACATATGTCCACCGTGGAAAACATTTAAAAGTGAAAGAATAACTACCTAGATATAAACTTAAACATGACAGATACAAAATGGAGTTTCTTAGGGATAACTTTTGACATTTCGTACAATTCAGTCACTTTTCTCGGGCAGGAAACGTTGTGGGAAGTACGCAGGCTGACTAAGTTTAATTCTTACGAACCAAATAAAAGAAGGAACAAATCTCTAAAAATGAATTCTCCACTAAGAGCAATTTTCTGTGTATCAAGGCACTGAAAACCCAGTATAACCATTACTACTACGAGCATGTATTCTGTCCTTAGCACACTGAGATACTGGCTATTCTCTTGCTGTGGTTAGGGACACATTTAGATTTCTTCCCTTCGTGTTTTGTTCATTTGTTTGTTTGTTTGTTTTTTACCTGCATTACATCCCCTTCAGAGCCTACCAAGGCCACCATGCCGTGAAGCGCTGCCAAACAGAGCATTGTAGGAGTGCCCTGAAAACAAAGCATCAGGTATGTCAAGAGGCAAATAGTCCTGGGGTTTGAACCCTATAAAACGTATTATATCCTAGAGAAACACTGGTCAAGATGGTACTACATTTGTAGGGTCAACATAACCCGCATCACGGACCCAAAACTGGCAGCTGACTTGAATACGGTAATAGGTTGAAGTTACTTGATCAGAGGTGGCTTCTTGCTGTTCTGTATTTTTCAAAACCACAGCGCTGTTGGAAAATTAAAACACTGAGAAAGTAGCCTGTGCTTTTTAAAAAAAGCTATAATGGTTGACAGGATGTATCATTTACAAGGGATTGAAAGTTCCTGCATCTCTTTCGTTTGAAATTGCCTATTCTTTTATTGTTTGGCTATGTATCTTAGCAGCACCTATAAATGGTCCAATAAAGTTGCTCTTTTTTCCTTTATAAAATATAAAATCACATGCTAGGACTTGACCTCCTACCTGTGCTAGAACAATTCTGATCCAGGCGGGGAGCAGTCTGTGGCCCAAGTCCTCAGCTTTTCCATGTCCGCACAGAGACAAACCATGAACTAGGTTTCCTAACGCCAGGGCAAAACCTGAAGTCTGTTATAAATGAATAAAAACAAAGGGTAAGGAAAAAGAAGAAGAATAGCACAGATGGCACAGAATTTTATAGAAAGCATCTAAGCACTTCGAGGGGCTCCCTTTCCTACTGACAGGTTCTTTCACCATCTGAAAATCGGCGATTTGCAGATTTTTTTAAAAAATCAAGACTTCGGTTTGCAACAGAAACTGCAGTCTAACTGTAAGGAATTCAGCTGCAGTGAATGGTTTATTTTAGGAAAATAATACTGGACCACTACAAGACTTGATTCAAACGATCCAAATTTTCAGAAGGAATTAGGGTGAAAATACTGAGGTAGATCACACAAGCCTAGTCAACTCCCAAACAAGAGGAGAAGTCCCATAATGAGCACAGTATATGCAAACTCCCACATCTTGGTGTTGCAAAACCTATTCCAAATTTAAGAGAGCACTCATAGATCCATAAAATAGTAACAATACAATACAATATTAGCTAATAACCTGCAATAATCCACCATGGCCAATACTGAGACTTTGGAGAAATCTAAAAAAAATACAGACGGGGCAATTTTATAACATGTGTAATCAGAGGGAACATATTTTTCATTAATTGTTGTAAAATATATATAACATACAATTTACCATCTTTACTACTTTTCAGTGGCATTAAGTACATTCACACTGTTCAACCATCACCACCATCCATCTCCAGGACTCTCTCACCTTGCAAATTCGAACCTTATACCCCTTAAACAATAACTCCCCATTCCCCCCTCCCCAAGCCCCTGGCAACCACCTTTCTACTCTCTGTCTCTAAGCTTTTGACTACTCCAAGTACCTCATATCAATAGAATCATACAGTATTTGTCTTTTTGTGATTGGTCTGTTTCACTTAGTATCATGTCCTCAACATTCATCCATGTTGTCACATGTGTCTGAATTTCCTTCCTTTTTAAGGCTGAATAATATTTCAGAGGGAACACTTTAAAAGTATTTGATATAACTTATAGGTATTTAAATTGTCCCATGCATATTCAGTCACAGAGATTCTCTGCTTTGAATTTGCTGAGGTTTGGCCTTATCAGAGTCCATTAAGTATTCATATCTTTACAAACTGTTATCGCTAGCCTTACATTCCCTAGCCACATGCTTGAAAGTTTTATAAATAGAGATGGAGAGAGAGAAAAGCCTTTTATACTCCCTCTGACAAAGAAAAAGAAGTACCTACACAAGATAGAGTATAAGAAGAGAAAAAAGACATCTGTGACCACTGGCTAGAGTAGTGAGGAAAGTCAGAAGTTCTTCAGTTCTGGAGGTGCCTCGGTGGCTCAGCTGGTTAAGTGTCTGCCTTTGCCTCAGGTCATAATGTCAGGGTGGTGGGATCGAGCCCCGCATTCAGGCTCCCTGCTCAGTGGGGAGAGTCTGTTTCTCCCTCTCCCTCTGCCCCTCCCCCCACCCACTTGTGCACTCACTCTCTCTCAAGTAAATTTTTTAAAAATCTTAAAAAAAAAAAGAAGTTCCTCAGTTCTGGGCACGAAAACATTCTGATAATAGTCTAATCAGAGTCAGTCAAAATTAGGACTCAGCAGCAACATGAGACCCAAAGAGAGGAGTAATCAGGGCACGCATTCCAACCTGTTGGTTGTTTTCTACCAACATCAGAAGCTTGTTCATGATATCTTCAGCCTCTGCAGCCTCAATGATCCCAGTACTGAACGCTGAGGTACACACGCAGCTGAGGGTATAGGCCAGGACCTAGAAGAAGAGACAACAGGAGATGTTTCTTCGTGAGGGAAAACGAAAGAACACGATTTAGTGGACACCAGTGTTCTGTCCAACTTCTCTCCGGGATAAGGACTGGATTCAAGTACGCCTACCACAGACCAGGCACTGTTTCGCTGCCCGACGTGTCCTAACGATGGTAAGAGATGCAGGTCAGAATTCCCACTTTACAGGTAGGGATGCTGAGGTCCAACTACATATAGCTTGCCAGTGACCGAAGCGAGATTCAAACCCAGGTCTTTAGACTCAAAATCAGCAAGTTCCCTCACCATCTCACGTCAGACACTGGATCTATCGACAGCAGAGGCTAGATTTTCATCCCCAGTGAATGCTACTAATAGCCATGTGCTCTGATCCAAGGCCAAGCCGGAGAGGAAATTCAAAGATGCGACGCATGGCTGCCTTCAGATTCCCTCCTAGAAGGAGTGGGGCAGAGCGGCCAGGCGTATGGGTTTTAGAGTCGCATAAATTGTGTAAAATAGAGGTAATATTCCTTACCTCAGAGCACTGGTGTGCTAATTTAATAAATGACTAGATGAATAAATGAATAAATGAACAAATTATAAATAAAAGAGAAGGCTGGGAGTTAGGACGGCCCACGCAGGTGTATGTCCCACGTCGACCATTGACAGGCTAAGAAACTTCAGGCAAGTCACTCAATCTACTTGAGCCTCAATTTTTGCAAAACCTGGTTAACCATCCCCTTACCACTACCTCACGTTTTCCTCCCGAAGCCCTCATTCACAAAGATGCTGTTCAGGCAAAGTGGAAATGTTCAACTCCCAACCCTAGTCGATACAGCATGCAGAAAGGAAGCTGTTTCTAAGTTTGAAATTGGATAATAAAACATCAGAGGGGAGGAAAAAAACCAAACTGCCTGCTCGAGGCCTTATAAATCAAAACATCAAGGCGGACCGAAGCGTTAGGCTCTAAAAACCCTGCTTTCGTTTATTAATCAAACTGCCCCTTGGTGGCAAAATTTTCTCCCTTTGCTTAAAAAGATGCGTCCTTTTCAACTGTGCTCTGCAACTCCTTTAAAAATGGAAATGTGGTGCATGTATTAGAACAAAACTTCAACCCTCTGTGCCCCAGAGAAATTCACCGATTCAACAAGTCCTATAGCTGAAAGCAGAGGGGCTGAGCGGGGGACAGAGTAGCCATTATGTACTCATCAATAGCTCGTGGGCTGGCCCAGAGAAAAGAGAATCTGCTCTAATGAGACAGGGAATCTGGCCAGGCCAAAAGGTCACCCCCGGGTGCTCCCAAAGACAGGGCCCAGGCCGTGCAGCTTCACCTGGGCAGACACACACACACACCTCAGAAGTCCACTCTGAACACGGTCGACACACAAGAGCTGTGTCCCATGAACTGCAATTCTGCATATTTTTGCACCGTAACAGAAAAATCTTTTCATTAAGTGTGGTAAAGGGAATTTCCTCAATGATTTTTCATGCTAGCTGACATTAAAAAAAAAGAAAAAAAAAAATCAAATGCCTTTTTCGATCCACAGTTTCTTAAGCTTATTCCTGGCCATCTTTTAAAGTTACATTTGGCTCGAGCATAATTCTAAAAATCTCCATTGAACCTTGCTCCGGAAATCGCAGCTCTTCTTAGAAAGTGCCTTCTAGCGATGCCGGCTTGGGTTTTTGCATTCACTAAAGGCTCTTATCTTATAGGCCACATTTAAGTCTGAATTTATTTAAACAGCTGCACAGTCTGAAAACCTTATGATCTAATGTTGGTGGTTTGCCACTCAGATTCTTCTCCTTATCCCAGTTGAAACTGAGGAAGAATTTAATTTCAGGGTTACCAAAATATGAGAAATGGAAAGTAAGTGGCCACAGGAAAACAAAAGACAACAAAGGGAAGAAAGCCATAACTCCCTGCTCCTACCTCCTGAAATGTTCTGCTTTGGCTCCCACTGTCATCTAGGTACGTCGAGAGCTTCCGAAGCGATGCTGCCACGTGAACTCGAGACTCTGTTTGGCTGCTGTGGCTCATGAGGGACAGAACAAGCCCAACGCCCAATATACAGCCCGTGCTTGATGCAAAAAAAAAAAAAAAAAAAAAAATCAGGCATTAAAATCACCAGAAATCCATGTCAACGCTCTTCACTTATCATGGGAGTTTACACTGCTCTTGGACCTGAGATGAGATGGCTGCATTCTCATTCTGCTGCCTGGTATATAAGTGTGCCCCATGAACCATCACAGGTACACCCACTGCCTACCTCCCCCCTGCCCTTGAGTGGAAAACTTTCTATCAAAACCGGGGTCTATGGCCCATGTTAGTGCTGTGGACCCACTGGAGAAGAACAAACGAAAATATGAAACAGATTTGAGTTAAACTCCATGTGAGGTAGGAGGATGAATAAAAAGTCAAGTTCAACCAGCTCCATCCCTGCACTTAGAGAAGTTCTGTGGTCCTCCGCACCATCCCCCCATGTCCGCATGTGGACGGCGCTATGACAAACTGCATGAGAGAAAAGACTCCATTTCAGAATATGAGCTGAGGACATCTGACTAATGACAGGGGGGAATACGTCGCAAGGCACGATGATGAGGTACTGCTAAGTGCTTCGTGTTTCCTAGTCAACTTCCACAAGTGGAATTTCTTAAAGAAACTGTGTATTTGTCTGTGCACAATGACATTAATCCTCTTCTCCCCTCTGATCCCTCTGAGTACCACTGGGTCAGAAGAGAAAATGGACAAATGACAGGCTTGTCAAAAGTTACCCCATGTGACAATTCAATTGGAATCTTAGGCTTTGTGTCCCAATTCTTGGGAAAGAATACATATCCATTTAAAGAAAAAATTGTTCTCCCAGAAAACTTCTAGTTAGTATGATAAGATAATGCAGCTGTGATAAGATAATGCAGCTGTAGGGTGATTTGCTACCTAAAAAAAAAAAAAAGTTTTTGTCATCATTGTTGTGTTTTGAATTGAGGAAATGCTGAGTTGTTTTCAGAAATCATCCCGACTCTGGTTTGGCTTGCCTGCCATGATATCTGCCGCTGAAGACTGCCATTCCAGGGCACTTCTCCAATAACATATTTCAAAGCCCGTAGGTTATGTCATTTTGCTCGTATATAGCATCTATCCCCTCGGCTGGCGTCAAGAACCTTCACATCGTTTCCTGAACATGTTAGTTCCTTCCCTCAAACACCTCTTGCAAATGAAGCATCCACAACGGAAAAGAGACCCCCAAAAGGACAGAGAGGCTACAGGATTTGTTCAAGGTCATATGGAGAGTTTCCAGCAGAGCATGGCCAGGAGACGGAGGCTTCGGATTCCCAGCCTTCTGCTCCATCTGCCAAGCCCCAGGCCCTTCTCAGGGCCCCGTAGGGATGCCCTGATGAAATGCCTATGAGAAGGCACCGTATCTCGAACATGTTTTTCTAGGTTCCATTGCATAACTATCTGGCATTAGGAAAGCCTTTGTAAAGAAGCTACTGCAGTAATAATCCATCATTAGCCAGGCAGAACTGCTGTTACAGCTTACAGGAACTTAACAACAAGCTCAACTAGCATAATGCATTTCCAACCAGTTAAATCAGCATCTAACATCTGAACACTGCATGCTTTTGAGACAAATCACATTTCTGAAGGAGGAAAGGCGCTCTTCATTAGTATGGATTTAAAGTCTTTGTTTCCATTTAGAATCTACAGGGAAGTTTTTTGTGTGGTTGTTTTTTTGTGTGGGGTTTTTTTTTTTTTTTTGGCTCTTTCTATATTGGTGCATATAAAAATTTGACAAAATTAGAACCAAAGATATGGTTAGACAAAATGTGATTAACACTTTGAAAAATTTGACTTTTGCTCCCTCTTGACTATTTAACTGCTACTTTCGATTAAGATTTCAAATGTTACTTCCTTAGGGACACCTTCCCTGGCCCAGCAGGGAACCTCTTTGGGACTCTCCCATAACACCCCATACTAATTTAATTCAGACAATTTTAATTATAAATTTTTTTAAAAAAGATTTTATTTATTTATTTGAGAGAGAGAGAGAGAGTATGAGCAAGGTGGGGAGGAGCAGAGGGAGAGGGAGAAGCTCTTCAAGTGGGGAGCCAGACAGGGGGCTCGATCCCAGGACCCTGGGATCATGACCTGAGCCGAAGGCAGGTGCTTAACCAACTGAGTCACCCAGGCACCCCTTAATTATCAATTCTGATGAGGATTTTTTGAAGGACTGTTTGATTTCTGCCCATGTCCTTCACTAGTCTGCAAGCTCCACGAGGGTGGGTACATTTTCTGATTTTCCCTCACCACATTATCTGTGGCACCTAGTATACCCCTTTGACAGGGACAGAGTTCGATCAATATTGAATGCTGAAGAACTGACCCAATGCAGGGTTCCAAGAGAGTCTAAAGTGGAGAGAAGATCTACAAGAAAAACAACAACAAAAACAAGACTGGATTCTTACATTCAGTTGGAGGCAAAATTTACCAGTGCTAAATACACTGAATATATTATCCAAGATTCAATCAAGAAAACTCAATTTCCATTTCTTGCCAGACTAATTTAAGAAAGAGGAGTGTCAGATTTCAGGTGGAAAAAGGGTACCTCTCAAAGCTCACTTTAAGTATCAGGGTTTATCTTTCTCAATAAGTAATCCTAAGTCTGGCTTTTTGGGGCTATTCTGGGCATGCAAAAATCTTTATCCCCTGGACTAAAACTCTTTTACCACCCAAAAGCATATGGGCACAAAGGCTTAGAAAAAGACATCCTGTTTCCTAGTTCACATTTACCTAATATTATCACAGCATAATTATTCTTGGGCAACGTTACCATTCACTAACGATTCTATTCATTGCTACAATGGTCAATGACTGTTGTCATATGTGAATATATAATCTAACTACGTATATACATACGTGTGCCAATATAAATATGCTAGGGTGTATGCATCTATTGACCTTCTAAACTCCTTCTACTCTGTCTCATTTTTCCAGCATGGTCCAAGAAGGTAGTCCTGAAGCTTTATTCCTTATGTTTTCTTCTGATTTCCAAGTGGTCTATATTTTAATGGGTTTATTTTTTGTCCTAAGTCTTAAAGATTCTCCTAGGTGCTTAGGTCAGCACTGCTATGTATTTTACCTCATCTTAGCTCCCCTTTGATATATTTGTCAGCTCTAAACCAAGAACAACTGGGCAGAGGTAGCATTCACATCTTTCCCTCCACTGAAAACAAAAAGGAGTTCCATGGAGTTGTCTCAGACAGATGAAATAGAAACAAATGATAATATTAGCTATAAATTTCAGGTTTTTTAATTACTAACATGAATCTTGAAGAACACTAACAAATGACAGAGAATTCGAGTTTTAAAATTATATGCCCTATTATGTCTTTACTTATTTGAATCTCTTATCCAAGTATATTAAAATATCACCGGCGAAAAGAAAACCTGAGGCTTAAAAGCTATGCAATTCTGCTCTGCGTGTTGCTATATCAACTGAGATATAATGATAAATTGTTTCTAAAATTAACCAGAGATGAATCTTCAATTCCTTACTTTATTGTGGACAACCCTGCAGATTAAGTATGAGGCCATCTAATAATTAGTTCTAATGACAGTTAACACTTCTATAGCGTATTGCCCTTTACAAAGTGCTATACAGATGTTATCATATTTGTAAAAGCTCAATAGTAATTAACCAGCACTCAGGTCGTTGACGGATGGCAGGACTAGTTAAGGCTGTGAGGACGGCAATGGCACAATGAGTACCACTAGATGGCAGCAGAATGTAAGTGATAAGGCCACACACCCCGGCCAGCCCGGGTGCCGGGTCCTCTCAGCAGGGACGTGTCCATTAAATCAAGGAAGCGTGGTGAATTTGCTCTGGGTGAATTCTATCACTTGAGGCGGCAAGCTCCCAGATCTATTAACTACCTCCGTAATGCTTCCACTATTTCACTTGAGGGAGGACTGCCCTAGACTCCTGAATCTCATTAGTCAGGGGAATACTTTATGCCTGGGCCTAGTCTGTCTGTCTGTATGTCTGTCTGTCGGTCTGTCTTTTTAGTAGTGAGACACACTCACATGTCAAAAAAAAAATAGTCAACACCATATTGTCAGGTATCAAATTGCTTTCTTTCTACTGAAATGTCTTCTCCCCACCAAACTATGTAAGAGACAGAAACCTGGCTTTGAAGGCAGACAACCTAGGTTCCTCCCCTAGCTGCTACTGACTGTGTGACCTTGAACCCATCTCCTGTGTGAAACTCATTTTCTTAATCTGTAAACCAAAGCGATGAGTGTTCCTGTTTTAGTATCAATATTTAGACTGTCATTGGGGCTGAATGACAGGAGAAACGGATGTGAAAATGCCTAGCACAGTATGCGGCTGCTTGGTATCAGCTGAACTGAAACCAGAGACAGAGCCACAAAGCATTAGGAATGACAGAATACTAAACTTCATTAACTGTAGAAAGAACGGGAGGTTGAAGAAGATGGAGAGTTTCTTGAAGGATCTGGGCTTTTAACTGAGCTCTGAGAGACAGGCAAGACTTTACTAAATGGACGGGAAATTTCTGATGACCCTATTCTACTTAATTCAGCAGGATTAGTCCCTATCTGGGCCCACCCTTTCCTCTGCCAAACACAGCTGATCACTAAGGAGATAAGAATCAAGAAACAATAATGAAGAAATAAGAATCTTCTCGATATAAAAAGTTAACGGGTAATGTTAAATGTCCTTACACACATGAGGTTTGTTATATGCATAAATACCCACGCTGTGGACAATTCAGTTATCGCTATGGTTCTCCTTCATTCAAACAAACTTCCGTCAGACTAGTGGAGATAATATATGTAAGTCATTCCTGATTGTTCCAACTGGCTGAAAGCCTACAGTAAGTTGATCCACAAATTTGTTCCCAGCTTTGTAATACCCTGAGCTATAGCTGTGATGAATACCTTTGGGGGAAGGCGGGGCAGGGGGAGAGAAATTTATCTTACTCCTTGGTTGTAAAAGGCAACACCACCAACACATGGATTGGGCTCCAAAATATCAACTCTTCATCAGACCCGGTAACAGCTAAATGGCCCTATCCCTTCCATTAATCATTTTCTACATTCAAGAGACTTCAATCATGCCACTGAACTCTCTTTTCCCATATTCAAAACCACACTCTTAAAACGTCTCATTTCATCTCTAAAGTGTTTCATGATAAACTGGGTGGATGTCAATGATTCTTATCTGATCTTAGCCTGCATCTGAAAGAAGATCCTGTAACTACCACCAACGAAGTGAAGATTTGACTTTATCTACTCATAATGAAATATTTGAGATATGCAGTTACTTCTACTAGTTACTCTTTTCTCAGTCTGAACGTAACAGGCTAGATGACATGAATGTAACTTTAGATCCTAAGTTGCTAAAGGCCACAAATGTAAACAGTCACATTTGAGCAGTGCCTGTAACAGCAAAAAGTAAATGAGTTAATAAACTGGAGGTTAGTGCTTATAATTTGTTGAGTTTTTTAGTAACAATGAACACCAGAGAATCTAAACTAGAGCTTCCAAAACACGTGGAAGTCCAAAAAGATGTAACGTAAGTCCCCAACTGTGTTAGTATTTCAGGAAGTCTAATAAAACTATATTCTCCCACACAATTCACAGACCAATTAAAACATTAAATGTCTCACTAAATGACTATGCTTAACTTGTTATTGAGGTATTCTTTTTTTTTTTTTTAAGGTTTTATTTTTAAGTAATATCTACACCCACCGTGGGGCTCAAACTCACAACCCCTGGTTTAAGAGTCACGTGCTCTACCAACTGAGCCAGCCAGGTGCAAGACATTCTTTTCTAATTATTCCTTTCTGTTTTTTTGGTTACCTTTCATGACTGGAATAATAAATTTATTTTTTATTTATTTATTTTTAAAGATTTTATTTATTTATTTGACAGAGAGCGAGCGAGCAAGCGAGAGAGGGAACACAAGCAGGGAGAGTGGGAGAGGGAGAAGCAGGCTTCCCGCGGAGCAGGGAGCCCGATGCGGGGCTCGATCCCAGAATCCTGGGATGACCTGAGCTGAAGGCAGACGCTTAACGACTGAGCCACCCAGGCGCCCCTAGAATAATAAATTTTAAGATATTTAGTTTAATAGACAAAATCTTTAAAAAGCATGAAGTCTGTGGTGGGGCGGGGAGAAACGATTAATATTGAGGAGTTTGGGAACCCCAGATGTACCCTATATTTGTTTCCGTTTTGATTCTTCAGTCGTTGGATTTCACACGGGAAATCTAAATTATGGGTCAAAGGTTCTCTTCGTCCAATCAAATTCAAAGAATAGTTTCAACTATTTAAAAAGGTTAAGTCATGCATATAAGTCTCCAGATACATGCCTCATATGGTAAGTACAAGACAGAACTAAGGTATTAATAACTTAATGACAGCCATGAAATGACATTCCGTTGCTTCGTAACGAAGCAAACGGTCTGTTGCTGAAACATGGGTTTTTAGAACAAGTACCTTTAATTACAGGTTCTGATTATTACTGAAAACTCTTTGCAAAGGAATTCAAGATCTAGTCCTACGAATATTTCACGATTGAATGCAAAGCGTATGGCAGAGAAAGATTCAGTCTTCAAATATCAGAGAGGAAATAGAACCAACATACTTATATTCAAGACTAGGATCAAAGCAGCAATTTTCCAGGGCATCCAGAGACTTCATCAGAAGAAGGTTCATCTGTTGGCCAGATATATCGCTGGGCAAAGACCAAGAGGAAAAATTCAGTTACTTAAAATCATTCAAATGTCCAAAATACTATATTTCCTCTTAATATTTTACTGAATTCTCAGTTAATTAAAAAAAAAACATATGAGTAACAATAATATTGATGAGTCACATATACTTATTTTGCAGGCAGGGAAACGAGTCAGAGAATTTATTTAATAACTGAGTTCCTAAACAGTATAATCACTTGTAAACCAATAAACTCAAAAACTGCTACTTTTGTATTTCCTCAGCCCATTCAAATTTTAAACCACTGAAAAACAAAAAACCAAAATCAGAATTCCAGAAACATTTCTAAGAATGCTAACGTGATTTTCTTCAGAATATCTTACAATCCGTGAAGCTGAAATTAACAATAATCATTCCAAATCTCTTTCTTGCAAAGGTTACTTCTGATTTCATGTCTCAATTGTGAAGACTGTTCTTGTCCTTTTTCCTACGTTTGTTTTTTCAGAAGCAGGGGGGAAACCCAGCCATGTATTTTTCTACCTTTAGAGAGTAATTGATGTGGTTTTGCGATGGTCTTGGTGAGAACTAGGACTTCTACAGTAAAAGAAAACTTAAAAGTGGTTCTATGGCTGTTTTTTCAGGCAGTTGTGGGCTTCATCACCAACACTTGACTGTTAAGGGGATCCTAACATGTCAACTGTCATGCTGCTCCCTCGGACCATGCTCAGTGGAATGCAGCCCCAGGAATGCCAACCAGCCACAGGACACTTTAAAAAATGTCTTCCCAAACCAAGAATATAGTGGTTTTGCCTGAGGTGAAGGATTACATTTTGCAGTGAGCGCGCGCGCACACACACACAGTTTAAATAGCTTTGACTAAGTCCTATTATAGTTGTTCTCTGGAGTAAAATATACTTAACTATTCTAAACAAATGCTGAAGAGATCCGACTAGTATCCTCTGGGAGTTATGACAGAAGCAAGCTCGGGAATAGTAACGCTTTTCTGAATAAATTCTAGACTGGAATTGAAATTCAGGCGACTTTTTCATAAGCCATGGCAAAAAAATGGATTGTCATGACTCTCTTCTACAAGGTGATTTTTCATTCTTGAGCCCAACATACTGTCCTAATCCTGTACCCCTGAGGGGGTCATGCTGGGCCATTTACTGGATGTCACTGACTATTCAGAGTCAACAGCCCTCAAAATGATGAACTTAATTTTAGAAAAATGGAAACTTCCTCCAAAAATGTCATTCTCTAGTGACATTGTCATTGTCTAGTAAAATACTCACCAGCACCAAAAGGCAAACATTTCAGATTCCTCTGCTCCGAGAAATTAGGAAGGTGGGAACCGTGAATAACTACACTGGTAGCTAGAATGCTCAAGACACTGGCCAAAAGAGGAAGCATGCTGTCCAAACAGATCATTAGAGCAAAGTGAACATTTGCACTGATTCTGAGGGCATTTGGCCTTGGAAAGAGCTGCCTGGTTTCCTTCCCCAGGCTCTCCTGCGGGTGCAAAGTCAAGTGAGAGAGAGACAGGGGCGGAAGGTAATCTAGGAACTGGGATGAATCCTTCAGGTTTCTCCAGGTAGCATGATTAAATTAACTGCAAGTGCAAGCTTGTCAAGCCCTAAAACCAGCAGCCTCTCATCCTAAACTAAGGAAGAGGGTAACCAGAGCCAAGATAGGATGAAATGAGTTGCCTGGAATTAAACTGCCATGGCTCATTTTTAGTTGTAAAACGCGCGGCTTGAAAGATACTGAAGAAAGAGCATGAACACAGATGGTGACGAAATTGCCATTTGTAGCAATAGTAGCAAAGGGGGAAAAAATCACTTTCAAGTTTTAAGTCTTGAAAAAACATGTTACGTTCTGTCACACACACGAGATATGTAACAGTCAATTCACATGCAAAGGGCAGCCTTTTGTTCATGTCCAGAACCAGGCCTATAAATATGAATGCTGGTCAACAGAACAAAACGAACATTCTAGAAACGTTTTCATTTATGATCACAAAGATGAAGCCAATCGTCCCAATCATCTGACAGATGTTTCCAAGAGCTGAAAATGATCATCTGACAGTATTTCCCTAGATCAATAGCAGTTCTCATAAAGGTTTCACATAATGGTGTTTGCACAAAGCTATGTAAATTACAAATGCAAACTTAACCACCGGTTTCAAACTGAAATCTAAATATAGCATAATGTCATCCAGTTTACCCACATCGCCACCGTCTCCTGGCTTCAGACAGACCGTTAATTTCTGCCAACCAGGGGAGTTTAAGGACATGGAACGTCACAACAGGATGCCTCTCCCAACTATCCTATTTCCAGTGTGGGGGGAAAATGGGGCTGAATTCCAAGTCAGTGCACATCTAAATATTCATGATATTCAAATATTCATGTTGTACCACACACTGCAATCAACCTGGGTATATAAAATTCTAAGACTTGTTACAAAATAAAGAATAAATAGGACGGACAACACAACCAAAGTAGATTCATGCACAAGAAAACTTTCCCATCTAGTGGAATTTTCCACCTGGGTCTTTGATACTCAGCTCCATTCAAGGGTAAAGCTAGCAGTCCAAAACTGAGCAAATGGAATAAAGCACACAGTATAATATGCACAGATTAAGACTCTTTAAGGATTATAAAAATGTAGCCAGGGCACAGGATAAAAGCAATCTTTAAAACTGGGTACATAGAGTTCTTAGGTGATCCAGGTGATTCCCAGCGCCCTCAGGCAGCAGGGATATTCCAATTTTTTCCTCCCATTTTATAGTGATATCAATAATCAACAATTATTTTCACCCTTGGAAGCCAGGGGAAAAAGCAGCTTTTTATTTTTAGCACCACGAGATTACACTTTTCCTCATATCTCACATATGAGGATACACATATCCTCATATCCATTACATGGATTTTTCCAGGGTTTTCAGCTAAGCATGGAATGATGTTAGAGTCACCATCACCTTCATGAGAGCAACCCTAAAAATACCCTAATATCTTTGTGATGGCATTTTGGAAAGACAGATGCCCTCACAAAGGAGAAGAAAGGGTCAGACCTGCCCATTTCAAAAAGTTTAGCAACCACATTATCGCTCGGACAGAATGTTCGGGAACGTGTGTGCCCGCGCATCACATCCTCTGCCTACATCATCACAAAGACAAAAATGGAAGAGTATTTTCATGAACCATACCTGAGTTTCTCCTCACACAAGCGCGAGAGAAACATCCCCAAAGCAAGGCCCATGTGGATCTGCACGGCTTGAGACTCATCAGCTCTTGGTTTCCCAGGTAACCTGGCAGTCAGCATGTTTAGGATTTCCTCAACCTTCTCTTTGCAAGAAATCATGAAAACTGGCACGAGGAGAGACAAAGCCGTGGCGGCAGTGGAGCGGGCAATCGCGCTAGCTGTGTTTTCACCAGAATAGGATTTCTAGGACATGCCAAAGGAAGAAAACAGGGGTTGGCCTTTGGTTTTAAAACACAAAGGGAGCAGACCTATCACAGAAGCACCACACAACAGGATCAGCGGCTCTGAGATCCACCCCCGCCAATCAAAAACATCGTTTAAAAAAAAAAAAATCGATTTTTGTGTTTGTCTCGGTAGGTTCCCTTTATACTCTTCCTTCCTGAAACAATTTGCTACTAAACAGTTGATTAATATCCTTTTAAATTTGGGGGATGGGGGGAAGTGTCTTCTTTTAAAGGGTGTGAATTCCCTCACTATAAAGCCTGAAAAAAAGTCAGTGTTTTGAAAGCCCACGTGTGTTTATGATTAAAAAACAAAAAAACAAAGAAACCCACCAAACCCCTAAGTGAAGTTACCCAAGCTTGGAGAAACCACCAAGCTGTACTATAGATGTCCAGAAAGCCAGTTTTCCAGGAGAGAAAGAGAGCGTGTGTGCGGTGGGTGGGGGGCGGGTTGTTACAGTTTAGTACGAAGGAAGAAGTGCAAGTTTAGCACAGGGACCTATTGGCAGATCTCCCAAAATTTTTGGTGGGAACGCTTCCCAGTAGATGGATTATTTCCTACAGGGGGTTAATTCCTTTTAATTAAAAAGGAAGTTGAAATCCTAAAAGCCTCTGGTTACAAAGCAATAACCAGCTATTCAAAACGAAATGGAGAGCTCTATATGCCCTTTCCTATATGTAATTATGGGAAAAGAAATGAATAACAGCCCTAATAAAATGGCAGGGCAGCTGAGTATGAACAGCTTCTGCAAGAATCCCATGTTAGGGAGCTCCAACAGACATTATATACATTTATAAATATGTCTCAAGTGGGGAAGGAAGGCTGTTTATCATTCTGCCACTATTATCCACTTCAAATTTTCAGACACGTCATAAAGGCTGTTCTGTCCCTCGCAACCAAAGCACATTAAAAAGTGCGTTTAATTCTGTACCCATTTGCTCTCTAAGCTTTAGTACTTCAAACAAAATCAAACATGTGCTAAGGTATTCTTTAAGTTAACATAGCATTATTGTAATGACAGTACTATTCAAAATGACCCAGCTGATCCAACACTGGAAGTCAAGAAAGTGATTTTCGAATCAGGGCTTCTTTGAAGAAGTAGAATAGTGCAAAAATCACAAAGGTAAGAGGCAACCCTGAGCTGGCTACTAAGGAGATTATTTTTATTCGTTTGCAAGAACTAAGCAGCGCGATTAGAAATCTCATAGAATATCCTGTCCTGGTGAATATCTGAACCAGAGCGCTATTGCAAAGACCTCGATATAAACTAGTTTTTCGTCCAAAATTAAAGGAATAAGAACACTTCTAACAGCAAACAAATGGATCATAACGCAACGATTTCTTTGAGGAAAATCTACCTTCCAATTTAATTCTATATTATCTACAAGCCATTTGTTTGTCCCCAAGTACAGTTAAAAATCCTAGTTCCAGACCCTAAGGCCCAGATGAATACGTACCAGGTCCTCCCAAAAGCAGGAGGACAGAGGCATGCAGAACGCTGTACAGAGAAGACAAAGTAATGGAGTTTCGGGCTCAATTCATGATCTTAGCAACAGTTCACAACCTGTGCTATATTTTTATTCAAATCGACTATAATCCTCCAACACTCAGCTGATTGTCCCATGATCACTATAATTCCCTAAGCAGTGGAGAGTGATAAGGCAGAACCAAAATAATTCTGGGCAGATGCAGAAATAAAGCATGCACCACAGCCAATGAAGGGGAAATAAAACCTAAACAAAAAAAGTGTGTTTTCACTTTGTTTCAAATCTTAGGATATTAGCATGAAGAAAAAGAGTGACTAAGTGACAGGTGCTTTTTTATGAGCAACAACAATATTCCTTGATATGTATAGAGTATTTCACAGTTTTCAAAACACTTTCCTACAAGTTATATCATGTGATCCTTGCAAATCTTTTATAAAGTTGGCAAAGCATTAATCTTTACCTTCACTGTACAGGTAAGGAAAATAAAATGATGGGTTAAGTATCAGGTCAACAGTCACAAAACCAGTAAGGGGTGGAGCTGGGACTACAATCGTTACAGATAATATTGTTCAATTGCCTCATTTTACACGTAAGGAAACAAAGGTCAAAAGAGATTATGTGAACTGCCCATGGTCACATATCCTGGAATTAAAAAAAAAAACTACGAGTAGAAACTCAGGGACCCCAATCTTTAACCAATGTTTATTTCACTACAACTGTAGCTCTTGCCTCTGACTACACATGGGAATAATCTAGAGACCTTTTAAAATACTGATAATGCCCAGGCCCTTCCCTAAGTAATTAAATCAGAGGAGAGGCCTACAGGTCAGTATTTATTTTTTCTATCTATAGAAAGATCTTATATATATACATGTGCTTGCACGCACACACATACACTTCAAGTTCCTCAGGTGATTCCAACGTAAAGCTAAGACTGAGTAATCACACTATGGTATGGCTTTCATGTGAACAACTAATATGAGTAGCCTCAACCCTTGACTTTTCCCATCATTTTTAAAATTTTATTTCTCAGACTTACATAATAAAAGGAGGAGAAAAGTTGTCCTCTGGGTTGGTAATGGCTATCCACAATGACCAGGAGAGTATCAGACACCATGGAAACCCACTCCTTCATTGAAAGGAAATTAGGCTGAACCTGCAGATGAAGAAAAACATGAAGTGAGGGGCAGCTGGGTGGCTCAGTCAGTTAAGTGTCCAGACTCTTGATTTTGGCTCAGGTCATGATCTCGGGGTCCTGGGATCTAGCCCCACATCATCAGGCTCAGCACTTGGCAGAGAGTCGGCTTGAGGATCCTCTATCCCTCCCCCTCTACCCCTTCCCCTGCTCGTTTTCTCTCTCTCTCTCAAATAAATAAATCTTAAAAAAAAAAAAAAAAAAAGGAATAACATGAAATGATAATGGAAAAAAAAATAAAACTTAAATATTATTTCTAGATCCGGGGCACAAACCCCTTCTGTATTAAAGAGTAAAGCGCTACGACCAAAGAGTAACTTCACCCGTCAGGACTTTAGGAGGCAGATAGATATTTGATAAATACACATCCTCAACCTGTGCCCCAAAAGGAATAGGATTTACCTTTTATACAAGACAAGCAGAGGTGAGAGGACAGGGGCTGCAAAACAGACCGTGTCTGAGAGCTCTCCGCTGCCCACCTGTGTTTAGTGAGGGTGACGGGGGGGTTAAAGGAGAGATGTGCAGAGAAAGAAACTCAAAATGTCTCATTTCTATGACTTCCCATTTCACAAAAGAGGCAATAAAGCAGCCTACAAAATTCTCATCACCATTTTTAGCATTTCTGCTTACTATCACCATAGATTTATCACTCTGAATCATCACAATGTGTGCCTAGCTAATTAGGTATGAAAGCATAAATGATCTTCAGTTGGAAAAAGAAAAGGAAAGAGAATGCAAAAAACAACAACAACAACAACAACAACAACATGGTGCGCCTGGGTGGCTCAGTCGTTAAGCGTCTGCCTTCGGCTCAGGTCATGATCCCAGGATCCTGGGATCAAGCCCTGCATCGGGCTCCCTTCTCTGTGGGAAGCCTGCTTCTCCCTCTCCCACTCCCCCTGCTTGTGTTCCCTCTCTCGCTATGTCTCTCTGTCAAATAATAAATAAAATCTTTAAAAAACAACAACAATAAAACCCAACTCATTAAAAAGAGACCTTAGTTTTAAAAATCATTCATGGGGCGCCTGGGTGGCTCAGTTGTTAAGCGTCTGCCTTTGGCTCTGATCATGATCCCAGGATCCTGGGATTGAGCCCCACATCGGGGCTACCTGCTTGGCGGGAAGCCTGCTTCTCCCTCTCCCACTCCCCCTGCTTGTGTTCCCTCCCTAGCTGTCTCTCTCTCTGTCAAATAAATAAAAAATCTTTAAAAAAAAATAAAAATAAAATAAAAATCATTCATGACTATAGATGTCAAAAGCATCTGGGGGCGCCTGGGTGGCTCAGTCGTTAAGCGTCTGCCTTAGACTTGGGTCATGATCCCAGGGTCCTGGGATTGAGCCCCACATTGGGCTCCCTGCTTGGTGGGAAGCCTGCTTCTCCCTCTCCCACTCCCCTTGCTTGTGTTCCTGCTCTATCTCTTTTTCTGTCAAATAATTAAATAAAAATCTTAAAAAAAAAAAAAAGTATCCATACACTCACAGGGTCACACTCAGGTGGTGCAAACGACAAAGGTCAACGCAGTGGTAAGCATCCTTGGAATTAATGCCTTGACTCAAAGAAGGCCTTCTTCCTAGGATCTTTGGTTGTTAGTCATATGCAGATTTCAAATAAAGTTTGAAAACCTCAACGTTAATCAAATAATGAGGTCTTGAGTTTGTACTGAATAACAACCAAAGACAAAGTGATGAAGAATAAAAGCAGAGTCCCATCTTTGGGTTGTGTGGCTTCTCGATGTTTTGTGTAGTTATCTGTTACAGCACAGAACAAAAGAGTGGGGAAATAAAGAAGAATAAGATTGCCTGGAACTCAAACTCAGAGCTAGACCCCTGGTTATCACTGGGGCAAATCACCTGCAAGTCTGCCCAAAATCAGGGATCCTAGAAAGGCACATTAACTTTTTCGGTCATAGATTCTACTTAGCATGTTGTCTCTGCTAAAGAACTTCATGGCTCTTTCAAGGATGTAAAACATCTTTCTCATCATTAAAGTAAGATTCTGCAGTTAAAGTTAAAATTTCCTATGGTAACTACACTTTTATGCTTCATGGAATAATTGCTTGGCCCCTTTCCTTTCCCCAAAGGTAATATACATTTGTACCTTTTGCCCACACAGCCTCTATTCTCTTGTTTATTGGTAATGGCACCCTTTGGAGAATTCCCTCCTCCATGATTTGAAGCTTGCTTAAATGCTCAATGAAGCCACCCATCCGACCTGCCCAAGGGGTGGGCACGAGACCCATGGGACCCTAAATCTTGAATGACAAGCACACCACACGACCAGAGCTGATCCATCCCAGGCATGGTAGTCTGCTGTGATGTGTGATGGTTCTCCTAACACTTCCTGTCCCTAATGCTCTTCCCCAAACCCAGTTTTAAACTTTGCCTTCAATTCCATGGGCTTCCGGATGCCATATCCTTCCGCTTTTTTATTTAGATGAGAGTTGGTTCCTTTGCTTGCAACCAAAAAACTCCATCATGAAAAAGGAGTACAGATGGCCCAGAAGACACACTGAGGGAACAGAGACAGGCTGAATAGCATTGAATAAAGCCTGGTTTTTGCAGCAAGAAGTCAGATGATGGTTACTGTTACTGAGTGCTTAGTATCTCCCAACTGTCAAGCTCTACATATATTCATTCATTTGATCCTCCCAGCAATCCTGTCTGGTGAGTACCTTTATCCCCACTTTACAGATGGGGGAACAGGCTTTGCAATGGGAACTTACCAACAATAGGCCACAGAGCTAGTGAGTTGCAAGTATTGGGATTTAAATACAGGACTCTCCTACTCCAAAGCCTATGTTTTTTAACCACTCAGCTATATTGTCTCCAGATAATGACAGCTACTAGATAATAGGGCTTAAAAGAAGAATAAATCCATGCCTTTTTATTTTGACAGATATGAATTATCTGAAAAAGTACATTGGAAATGAACATTGGCCAGCTCGCTACATGTTTAATTAAGAAATAAATGCCTTGCAAAAATGAATAGGCACTTTGTCATTGACATCTACAATTAAAATGCAAAGTACAATTTTTTTTCAGTCAGTAAACACTACTTATTTATCATTTTTTGACAGCATTGTTCACTTTCAGTAAGCCTAGTTAACCTCCTAAGATTGGTTACCACTGATGTAATCACAAAAAGACAACCCCTGTTGCATAAAATTGGTACCTTCAAATGGAAATGACCACTTAACTGTGATGGAGAAAACAAAACAGAAGAGCAGCAAGGAAAAGTGTCTGCGGAGCCCCTCAAGCTCGCCGTGTGAAGACCCAACAAGTAGCAGAAGTCGGTGCTGCCCCAGGCACGGGCTCTAACCTCGTAAACTCAGGGCCAGGCTTAAAGAGGCTTCTCACTTTTCAAACGTTGCCCAACTGGTTCAAATCGCCCTTAACTCACCTCCGGGACCCCCTCCGAGTCTGAAGAGAGACTGGCTTCGTGTTTGGATACGATGACAGCGAGGCTGCTTAAGGCTAACAGTGCGTTGCCCTTGACCACTGGGCTCTCCCTGTTGAAAAAGAAAAAAATTCCAAGAGAGGATTTGGGGGCATTAACCGGGAGAAGAGAAGGCATTATTACAGAGAAGGCAGACGAGGTCAAAAAGCACTTCCATTCCTTCACACAGCTTCATCCACACACGTCTGCTTGTGCCCTGATGTCTTCTCCTTCTTCTGACGCTAGCGTGGATTTCTCTCTCCTCATGTGGGTATGGTCTTTAGACCTTGGGGGTGTGTGTGTGTCTGTGTGTGTCCTACAAGTCTAAGCCCATATATCTAAGTTCTTTCTTTCTAAAGTTTTTATTTCATCGTTGGACGCAGCATTAAGTAAGCGATATCTTTCCGTGTCATCTTTGGCAATACAAATTTATCGATTTGTGCTAAAAAATACAAGCGGAGACAGTTGCGTGAGTAAGCACAGTAGAATGCAAGTGGCCTCTGGCTTTTCTCAGGCACTGGTGTGTGGAAGCAGCTTCCAGTGAGCCACTTCAGGCAGCATGCTTTACCAGCAACCTGCCACACTGGTTATTATAATCATTATCATTATTAGCCTCCCCTTCTTTCCCTCGAGATGTCAAAGCCAGCAACCTTAAAGCGGTTTGTGATATAACTTAGAGACCCTAGGTAAGGTGCAAAAAAAAAAAAGGCCTGTTTTTAAACTATCTGGATGGACAGTTGCCCTCCCATATTATCCAAATGGTGGTTTTTCTATTAATAGCAACAAAATCCTAAATGTGACTTCTGGATTTAGTATCAAGAAAACTGAACCTTTTTAAATATACTTACCACCTGAAAATGAACATTTAATATTATTCCATTATTCCAATGTGATTCTATAGAAGAAAATCTTCAGTGCGACACTGATGAGATGTTCTTGGCTGGCCCACCTCCATCATAATAGAACACCCAAGCCCTCGGATGGTTCCATTCTGTCCTGGTTGGGGGTTCCCACAAATACAGAGACTGTTTCCCAAAACCTGGACTTGAGACCTGAACATGAACCTGTGGATACGTGCTAGAATGGCTCCTGCTCACCCCAGTACAGGAATGGAACAGATCTGTGGGGTGGGGAGACTTCCAGCCCCGCTCCCCGGGACCTCCAGTCCCAGGCCACGGTCATGTCAGAACCTGTGAGTTATGGGTATTCAAAGGTGAGTATACACACACATTATTGCATTTTTGCTTCCATCGGGTAAGAATGGGATTCAGGACTTGCCATGATCAAGTTCCACCATCTACCTATTCATGGAATCCCTTCTGCCTTCTCGCTCTCCCACCTTGGGGTGGTTAAACTCAGTGAAGGCTTGCTCTGCGAACTTGCTCATTCTGTTCACTTCTGCTTAATTCATTCCTCTATGAGGACTGCCACAATTTGGTAACACAACAATCTTTATATTGGGGGGCGGGGTGAGAGGAGAAAACAGGAGGAAGACCTGAAGGCTAAGCAGATGCCTTCAACCTAGGTTTTGCTAGAGTTTTGCAGTGAGGATCACTGGGATATAGATAATAATAAAACACCAGGAAGCAGGGCAAGGTCTGGGCATTCTGATGCACCAGAGCCCTAACATCACTTAACAAAACCAAAATTGAATCTTCTATTTCTAATATGATCTCTTTCCTTTAGCTGAGAATATCCTGAAGCCTGTCCTGCTACAAAATGACCACGAATCCCTAAAGTTACATTAAAAAAGAAAAGTTTCAAATTCTCAGTGATCTGACAATTTGATCCCTGGGTTTTTTTTTTTTTTTACCCTATAGAAAAACTCAGATTGTCACCAGAAATCGGGTATCAAATAATTTAAAACAAGGATATTAGACAAGATGACATGAAAAGTCCTTTTGTAACCCTGAATTCCGGGAGAACATTTAGCCTCCGTTTCAACACAGAGACCCCAAGTGATTTTGTTTCAGAAGTTTCACTGGTCCTGACATTCCGGAACACATATTGTTCTTGTAAAATGGAGAAAAATGTATTTAAAGTCAGTAGTAATTAGACCTTTGCTTGCAGACTAAATGCATATTTGGACATTAATCTTTGAATAGAAAAAAGTATGTCACAGTCCACACAGTGAATGCTCGGGCCAAGCTACACACTTCCCAAAGGTGCTGTGACGAGCTCTTGGTCAACTTTGCATTCCCTGCATGCCTAGCACAGTGATTTATGGAGGGGAGACACTTGATACGTATTTAGTGAAACAAATTCACGGAGGAGCTTGCCAGGTGAAAATCTACAACCAGTTCAGCAAAAACCCATCAGCTTGTGGATCAAATAACTATCCCCTACCAGTTGGGCAGTACTAACTAATTTGCATAATAACATGTCAGCATCAGTACAGTGTTTACCTAGGCAACACCACTAGCATTTTAATTAAACTGTCCTTTGGAACAAACTGATGCCATCAACCTAATTAAAAAGCGCAGGGAAGGATGAGCTACAATGATGCTTTCTTAGGGACAAAGTATACATTACATATTAGTAAAGTGACCCAGTCCTTTGGGGATTTTCATCTTCGGATTCAGATCTATTTCATTAATAACGATGAAAATAAACTTACATCAATCATCAAGGTTTATCTGTGTTCTGATTCTCCCTTAGCCTTATCCTACCCTTGATGCTTTAAAACTGCTCTTAAATGAGCAAATCAGTCTAATCCTGTCACTGGTGTTTTACTTCCTGCGTTTAACTTACGGCTCAGAACAAAGTCAGTCTTACAATGGTTCCAACCAGCCTGTGTTAGCCATGATCCAAGAAAGGGAAGGCTAAGCTGGCAGCAGGTGGTGGGGGGTGGGGAGGGGGGGTCCTCCCATGGTTGGAGGAAGCCGG